GGTGTCTGGCCACATTTAATTTCTTGATGTGGGTAGTGGTTAAAAGGATATTCACCTGATTATTTACTATAGTGAAGTATTTGTTTTGGGTAATTTTCTGCATTTGTGCGGCTTTATTTTAACGTAAAAAAGTAAAAACTGGCAGATAATATTAGAGTGTAAACCACTCTGGGAGGAGATAAAGGGAGGCAATGCTGAATGTTAATTACCCTCATTTATTGCACTTTTCATTAAAGGTCCTCCTTTGAGAGCCTCTTCTGTGTTGGAGCGGAAGAGAACTCTAGGGCTATGTGTCGGGGAGCAATCCTCTGGGAGGGGGGTGCTGCACTCAGCCATGTCCCGGAAAATCATCTCCTTCTCTTCCAACAAGAGTAGGATTTGTTGGTCCTTCTGTTGAAGTTGTTCTGCAGGATGGAGAAAATGATCTGTGATTTGATTGGCGTTTAGTATTACGAGATGACTAAGACATGAGCACCACCTTGTGGTAATTTATGGAAAGGGACAAGACAGGACACCCCACCCACTGCCCTTTCTTTTTCATCATGACAGCAATATTGTTTCTGTTCTGTGATTTCTATCTGGAAAACCATTCTGGATCTTTTTGGTGAACCATGGAAATTGTGACATAACAAGTTTGCACTTTGCTTCCACTCCCTTGTCCCCTGTTTACTTCTCAGCCCACTACTCTCTAGCTTCTGTCCACTCTGCAACTGGTTTCCCAGCTCAACTTCACGATTCAATCCAATGAGGTCTTTTAGGTTGTTTTTTTCAGCATTGATGATTACTTCCTCCTTTAAAACATGTTTCCTTCTTTAACTTAGGACACTGGTTCTCTTCCTACCATTCTTTCTCAGGACACTTTACTGATCTGCCATCTGCAATGGAATCTCTTATCTGGGCTCCTGGCTTCTGTCTCAGCTCCATCCTGAGAGCTGTCTTCTTCTTCTTCTTTTTTTTTTGAGACAGAGTTTCGCTCTTGTTGCCCAGATTGGGGTGCAATGGCACACTCTCGGCTCACTGCCACCTCCACCTCCTGGGTTCAAGCGATTAAGCGATTCTCCTGCCTCAACCTCCTGAGGAGCTGAGATTACAGGCATGTGCCATCACCCCTGGCTAATTTTGTATTTTTAGTAGAGATGGGGTTTCACCATGTTGGCCAGGCTGGTCTCAAACTCCCAACCTCAGGTGATCTGCCTGCCTTGGCCTCCCAAAGTGCTGTGATTACAGGTGTGAGCCACTGCACCTGGTCTGAGCTGTCTTCTTTACCTTACCCACTTTCCTCTTGAGGATCTCATTCATCCCCATGGCTTCAATTACCTTCTATATGCTGATAATTCATTAAAAAAAAAAAAAAATCAAAAGTCCTCCCTTTCTTAGCAGCAGACCATGGGGCCCAAGTGGCCACCTCTACTGAGATGCTTTGTTCTCAGCATGTGAGAAACCAATCTTTTCTCTAGCCCATCACCTCCTCCCTTTAGTGTGGAATCTCTTTCTCAGTCAACAACTCTTCATCTTCCAGGTTACCTGATTTGGAAACCTGTGAGAAATTCTTTCTCCTCACTCTGTCCCACCACCAACTGACCAGACTTTTTTTTTTTTTTTGAGAGTCTCACTCAGTCACCCAGGGTGGAGTGCAGTGGCACTATCTCGGCTCACTGAAACCTCTGCCGCCCGGGTTCAAGCGATTCTCCTGCCTCAGCCTCCCAAAGTAGCTGGGATTACAGGCACGCGCCACCACGTCCGGCTAATTTTTGTATTTTTAGTAGAGATGGGATTTCGCCACGTTGGTCAGGCTGGTCTCCAACTCCTGACCCTTGTGATCTGCCCACTGTGGCCTCCCAAAGTGCTGGGATTACAGGTGTGAGCCACCAAGCCTGGCCAACTGACCAGATTTTAATGACCTTATTTCCTACTCACATCTGTTCCCTCTCCAGCTCATTTTCACTTAACCTATCCTAACAGTCTTCCAAATGGTCTTTCTACTCCCAGTCGCTTCCCATTCCCTCAAGCAACTCTCCTAACTAGCTTCAACATGTTTAAAAAAAAATCTTTTTATTTTCTTTTTTTAAAAAATTACATCAGTCCCTTGTTGCCTTTTTAATACCTGGTGCTTTTCCAGCTTAAGCTCCCATCCCTTAGCCCTGACCCTCTAAACACATCAAACCTGTCATTCCTTGGCAGACATGTCAAGTCCTTTTTCACCTCTGCACATAACTACTCTTGTGTGCTGAGATAATTTTTTTCAGATGTAGCTCATGCACCAGCTTCTCTGTGAGACTTACTAGACGCAGGATGAGCAGATCCCACACATGTTAATCGTGCCTGTGGTCTAATAAATCACTGTGTGGCCCATCGTTAAGGTATGTCTCCCCTGCTAGGGTGTGAGCTTCTCAAGGGAAAGGGCTCTTTTTAAGGAATCTTTGCATCTGTTGTACCTAGCAGTATGCCTAGGCAGGTACTTAACAAAATTTAAAGAAGGAAGATTTTTATCCTTGTCATCCTAATCATGGGCCAATAAATCTGCTGTAACTCTGGCTCTGGTCTAAATCTGTCCATATTTTTAATTTTCCCCTCAGTGAGACTCAATGCTTTCATCTGTATGGCTTTAAGACCTAACCAAACTCCTTAGATGCTTACATTTATTTAACTCTAAGCCTTATTTCGACCCAAAGCATAGTCTTTACTTAGAAACATTTGATAAGCCACTGGCAAAGAGAAAAGAGCACCAGGCTTTGCTAAGACAGGGAATAGAATTCTGGCTTAACCATTAACTACATGTGTAACCCTGCGTAGCTTGTCCTTTGTGGGCCTCGACTGTCTCATCTGCACAACGGGGATTAGAATGCCTGTGTTGTAGGGACACTGACAAGACTACACAAAACAGTCAGCACTCAATAAACAGGGGTCAAACATAGATCGATACATACCCTTCTCCCAAAACTTCACCTCGCAACTCATTTGTGAACTGCAGATAAGTGATAACGCTAGGGACTGGTGGGAGGATTATATCAGATTAACTGGAGAATTCTTTTCCCCAAATTCTCTCCTTGTTTTAATTTTAGATGTGACTACAAATTTTGGTAAATTCATCTGTGACAAAGTACAGAGAATGTCATGAGGTTTGAGAACACTGATCCTGAGTTAAGAGAATCAATATTTTCTTGATCCAGTATTGGACACATCCTTACAGTCATTCTTTACCAGGACCCATGTCAGCCTGGACTTGGTTTCTCTTTTGTTAACAGCTATTCGTTTCGCTGCTTTCAAGTGCCTTCTGGGGCAGCTTTAGAACTGAGGGCAAACCCGTCCTCTAAAATCCACCAGCAGTCTTCTGCAACTGCAGACATTCCACACAAGGGGCTCAGACCACTCCCAATGCCTCACCTTTTAATTCTCGGGCTTTGGTGTCCAGCATTTTCTTTTCTTCCTCATTCTCACTAGGAATTCCTTCATCTTCATCTCTGTTCCTAATACAACCCAAACAAGACAGAACAAAAAGTTCGTAAGATGTCGATTACTCTGGTCACAGTACAGCCTATTATGAAAACACACAGAGACATCAGGAGGGCTGGGAAGGGTGGGGCCTGGTGGTTAACTTACAGGGTGTTGATTGTATCCTGAATGATCTGAATCCAGCTGTTTCGTTCCTCTTTGGAGCTGGCATGGACTTCTACCATCTCTGGATCTTTCATCCCCATGCTGATCAGGAATAAACCTTTCTCCTCGTGTGCCACTTCTCTCACAATCAGTTTCTTTAAAGAGATCACTGTTGACTTCTGGTCCTGGAAAAAGGGAAGAGGGCAAATAAAAGATACATATACAATATTCTAACTCTTAAGGACAGCTTAAATCTAAGGTAAGACTAGATGCTGTTAAAAAAGCACACAGTTTGAAAAACAATGGCTGCTTTAGGATAAAGAGAAATATCTCATTTCATTCAGATTTTAACAAAGATTTTCAAAAGGGAAATAGTAATTTATGGCTCTAAAGGTTCCAGTCATGTTTTCTACATGATGAATCTTTCCAGATTCCCCAAAGAATCCAGTCAGCAATATTATACATGAGCATCATTTATGGGCTCACATGTGAGAAATACTCCAGTGACAGGTTTCTTCATAGGTCAAATAGTCAGATGTCCAAGACACTAAAAGAAGACTGTGATGAAACAGAATAATAATTTTTGGGGAAGAGGGGATGCCAGAAAATTGTAAGGGCGTGTGGGAAATTACTCAGAGGAATTTGTCCTGAGCCATTAAATTTTAAGAGGGCTGGGGAGAGCAATAACATAGTGCTTACATTCCATAACTAACCTAGATGCTTATAATACTATTACAAAAATAACAATTCAGCTTACCAATGAGGCAAAGATGTACTTCTGGTCTTTTTCTTGAAGGAAAACTAAAATGTCAGTGAGAAGAACTGCTTGAACCTCTGGAAAACGGAAATGGGAGAAGGGAAGATAGAACAATGACTACTTAATAGTTACCACAGTCAGAAGGGTTTTTATTGAAGGTGCAATACATACACCCCCATAAGGGCAAACTATGATCTGAGATCACACTCCTCCAAAGCAACAGTTTTACAGTTCTCCAGGATTCACATCTGGTCACCAGATTTTTTAGCAGCATTTTAAAATGGGATTTATCACCAAAGCCTTGTTTTGGAAAAGTTTAAGTACTCAGTCCTAAAAAGATATATCCCATAAGACAAGAGTTTAAGAATAAAATACTTTTAAGAATAAAGCTGAAAAGCTGGACTTGTACAGATGTTAAACAGCAACACAGAGCAGGATACTCCAAAAAATACTCAGGTTGCAATATTTTTTGACTTCTGATTACAGTAATGGGAAAGGTGTGGGGCAGGAGACAGCAATGCTGCCCAAAGATGAAGTATAGAAATATCTAAGTCTAATGAAAAGATGTCCGTCTTCCACACCCTCAAAAGAACAAAGAGTGGCCACACAGGCACCTTCTAGTCTTACAGGTACATGTGAATATAGGGCTCTTTCCTCAGCTCCATATGCAATAGTCAACTTAAACTCTTGCTCTGACTAATCCTCTAGGAGTAGGTAGTAACATTTTCCACTAGTCTCTTGAGGATGGTTTGATGTCTCTGGAGTTGAGTCTATATCGAGCTGGCAGGCTGGCCCCTATGTAACATCTTCACTGTGGAAAGTGAAGTCCACGATTCCCTGGGAAAGGATGGAACTGACTTACGCAGTCCATGCCCCACCTTTTCTTCTACCTTTGCTGCAACTGGAATTCCCTTTCTGTGGAATTCACTGCAAAGCTATGAAGAAAACAGAAGCAAGGACATCTGATTCCTAGGGAGGTCTAATTTTTTTAGGCTAAACTACTGCAATTTTCTGTGTACTGCCATCAGTTATGAAAAAGTTTTTTTTTTTTTTAAAGTTTACTTTTAAATAATTTAGATGCCTGCACCCCTCTCCCTCCCCCCAAATAAGTGAGACACAAATTTTAACTTCATTGAATCTTGAAGTTTATACGATCAGTGTCAGTGGATCAGAAAAAAACAATCCCACCCTTTTTTTTTTTTTTTTTTTTGAGACGGAGTCTCGCTCTGTCGCCCAGGCTGGAGTGCAGTGGCCGGATCTCAGCTCACTGCAAGCTCCGCCTCCCGGGTTTACGCCATTCTCCTGCCTCAGCCTCCCCGGTAGCTGGGACTACAGGCGCCCGCCACCTCGCCCGGCTAGTTTTTTTGTATTTTTTAGTAGAGACGGGGTTTCACCGGGTTAGCCAGGATGGTCTCGATCTCCTGACCTCGTGATCCGCCCGTCTCGGCCTCCCAAAGTGCTGGGATTACAGGCTTGAGCCACCGCGCCCGGCCAATCCCACCCCTTTCAAAGAGTACCTAACATAGTACTGGCCGTACTTGGCATGAATTCATTTGGGGGTGAAAATGACTAAACACCAACTCCTATCTCTACTGGAGGCATTCTAGGCCACAAAACCTATCGTTCTGCCATGGCTTGACCACAACTTTATTCCAACAGCTGGGATCTACTAGTTTTTATTTTGGACATAAATAAATTGCTATGTAAAGGAAAGAATAAAGCGCTGGCTTCAGGCAGCAGCAGCTCTAGGAAATTCAGGCCTTTACAAGAAAAGGCAGGTATTTCTGAACTGCAAGCCTGCTTAGAAGTCTCAAAGAGAGCTAGGGCTCTCGCAACATCACAGAATATTAGGACTGGAGGGAAGGAGCCTTAGTTCGAGTTTATCACAGAACAATGAAATACACAGCCAGTTGGTGGTGGGAAAGGAGATTTCTTTCTCTGAATCTTTTCTGCCCTTCTTTTTTATGCCTTCTGTTACAGTGCAGGCCCAGATGAGCTCTTCCCCAAAGCACTGCACAGTCTCTTGATTTGTCTGTCACCAGTCTCTCTTCACTCCAGCTGCACTCTAAACTGCCCCTAGTTGTTATACTGAAAAACCACCTCATGTAGCATCCCTTTCCTGCTTGCCGTTCTCCTTTTTGAACCCATTCTTTGCCCCCCTCCCTCATCAATAGTATCAACTGTTAACTCCTCAGTCTGGAGAATGCACCTCATCACAACCTGGCCCCTCTCATTTCTTTGGACTAGTTTCCCGTCACTCCCCCATCATTCACTCTGCTCTCTATTTGAGAGTCCCAGGTGTCCACTCTTCCCTGGACGTGCCACATCCTTTCAACTCGATGCTTCCACTTTCTCTTCCTTAGTGGGGGGAGCACTTTCTCCTTACGTACCAGGTACCTTCCTTGTCATCCTTCAAGACTTGACTCTAATGCTATTCCTCTTGCTTTCTCCTCCATCCCAGCACACATCACACTGTAGAGCAGGTACCTCTTTCCAAGGCTCTTCATTTTGATTTCAACTTCTAAGCAGGGTGTCCTGCTTTATTCATTGTTGAAACCAGTTGATTGCCTGGAACTTCTTTACTATTTGTTCTAAGCATGGGTATTTCCGACAGCAGTTACCTACATCATCACTTACACCTCAGAAACGAAAGCAGCACACATTTCCTCCACCTTCTTTCTATACTGGTGAGGCTGACAGCACTGGCCTAGCCTGCTTCAATGTCCTCAGCTCACTGAGGCCAGGGTGAAGGGGTGGGTATAACTCAAGGCTATTGGTGTAACACATAGACCCATGGAGTATAGGTTTGATGAAAACAAACAAACAAAATCAAATGTACAGATAAATTAAAAAACAAGCCTCACAGCTTCATTAACTTGACACGGCTGACCATTTGAAATGTAAAAATTAAAACCAAATGGAAAATGGGCATCCTTTATGATTTCTTTTGTTTTAAAGATATATGTATATCATAAAATATAATAATAAATCTAACTGATGTGGGTTAAACTTAACTTTCTATTAGGTGTCTGGAGCTGCAAATTCCTCTAACATCGCTGTGAACAAGCCTGTGAACCTCTAACATCGCTTGTGAACAAGTGATGTGTTTTGAATTCACAGATTCTGTGAAACCGTCGCTGATTGTGTCTCCCTCCTTGTGAGTTTTGCCATAGACCCCAATTCCAACCTGGCTGTCCATCTCTTGTAGGGGAATACACCTTCCTTGACAGCTTGCATATGTGTACTAATCTTATGCTTTGCTTTGTTTTTTTAAAATCTTATTTTCCATTTTCCCTGACTGCATCATTTCTTTGTCATCTTGCTCTATTTTGTATGATTTTGTAGGCCATCACAAACCATTTTTGATATAAGATTATGAAGAACTAAATGCTTGTTGCTCCTGGGTGGTGTTTGGAGATGGGCTCTCTGAGAAAAAATCTGGTAGTGAATTTCCAACAAAAGCACTTGGATTTTGCCTGTTGTACCTGGGCACACACTTAGACAAAACAGCCAAGCCTTACCTTTCAACCTTCCTGCTGCATTCTTCAGAAACACACTCCCATCACGTACAAGCTTCTTCCGTTTCAAATCTTCCTTGGCAAACATCTGACCACTCTTCATCCTCATGATTGACTTGCTATCTGTCTTTGTATAAATCTCATTGAGACGCACTTTCTTTTCATAACTTGCCACTTTGCTGTCTACAGCTCCAATCACATCCTTCACCAGGCTCAAGGACTGTGCTAGATCTTCCTGCTCCACTTCATTGTCTTGGAAGGAAAGAATAATTCTGCTTTTTATGTCTCCTTTTGGACCAGGGAAGAAGCAAGGGAATCCTGACTTCTCACTCCATATCATCTTTTCCCTTGTGACTATGCTATCAGAGGGAAGCCAACACATCAGAGGTCATGTGCCTATCCCTCTTGCTGTCATAAGTTTGATTCTAAAAAAAGCCAGAAGTTTTCAATGATTTAAATAATATGCAATCATATGTTGTGCTCTAAAATAAAAGGAACTAAAGACTTCTAGGACGAAGGTAGTAGCAGGAAGAGCAACCAAGTTTTTTTAATTTGTATCTTTGTGTTACTTAATGTAACTTCTGGGAAGAACTGGTGGAAATTATCTCCCAGCCTAGTGATAAGAGAATAGTGTTCAGGTCATTGAACTCTGGATGGAATCAATGTGGTCCCTTTCCTTCTTGCTATCATCCACCCTAAGTCTGGTAACATAACAGTCCAAATTTTCATTTAAGAAAATTATTTTCAAGATAAAACACAAGGTCTCTTTTAGACCTACTAGACCATGAAACAGCACTTCCATGGGGCCTCCAGTACTACTGGCCACAGAGGAAACAGTCCATTGCCATACAAGACTGGGTTAGAAAGGAGACTTACCTTTGGTACACTGCAATATTCTTTGGAATAAAACTGGGTACTTGGTAATCCGCTGAGTTACAAGCAATATGCACTCTGGAATTCCAAGCCTTCTAACAACTGAACTGCTCATCTTCTTCTGCAAGGGAGTAAACAGACTGTGAGGAATCACATGAAAAAGGCTCTAGTGAAAGCCGACAGGGACACATTGCTCTCAACAATGACGGGGGTTTTCATGTTTCTTATCAATACCTTTACAAAGGCTTGAAAACGCTTATCCTTGGCATAAAGGTCTTTGAAGTAGTTTACAGACTGGTTATGTTGCCCACAAAACTTGCCGTACGTCTTCTTTAAACGTTCTGCATTCTCACCTGAAAACTGCAGAGAAAAGAGAACAGAAGTCATGCCATGGGGCACCAAACTTGTAATGCCATTTTGTAAAATGTTTCCAGTCTACTTGTAAAAGTCAAAAGTGCTTCCTCATAAATTCGCCCAAAAGAATGAAATGGTGCAGCAGCTTTGGAAAGCAGTCTGGCAGTTACTCAAGAGGTTCAACTTTAAATAGGCAGACTATATGGCATACGGATTAAATCTCAATAAAGCTGTTATACAGATTTGAAAAACAACAAAAAATTACAGAAATTTTATGTACTGTGCACATAGGAAATGTAAAATGTATTCTAACTTCTATTTGTCATAAACAGTAATAAAACAATGAGATTCAGTAGGAGTTTTTCATGAGACAATCTTAAATACCTGACCTTGATAAGTTAGACAGATATCACAAACAGCCCTCATTACCTAGGGATCTGTTTGTACTACTTACTTCAGGCCAGTAGTCCTAATAATTCCACAAGGCCCTTAAATCATTCCCAAATGTGTGCAATCTCAATGGTTCATCTGAACGTATGTTCACTTTGTGGTAAATCAATGAATTTCTGTATGCAGTTCATAAAATACATGCTAAGCATTGATTTCCATGTACTAAAAACCTCCAGAGGCAACACAAATTGATCCTTACCAAAAAACTGGAAAGAAGGATTAGGGTAGCTTTTCCCTTCACCATTTACCAATGGAAGAGCTGAGACAGTAAGTTATCTGCTCATATGACAAAGCAAATGCCCCAAAGGTTGATCCTAGCACTGGCAGCACACAGAACCAGCAAATGGAAACTACAGGTTAAACGGTGAATTCTAGCATCAAAGATCTTACTACGGGTTGTACACAAGTGCGAGGAGGTACAAATGGTAATACAAGTCAAAGTTTGATGAAGTACTAAGTTAGATGAAGTAAAAGTTAGATGAAACCAGAAAGGAGGGGCAGAGAGAGAGAAATGAAAATGCCCGAGGGGATGTTTCAGGAGGAAAGGTCATCATTTGTAGGTCTTACTTTTAAGCTCTATCTGTTGCAGCTATCTGTGTTCAAACATTTACCACACTGCATTTGCATTTATTTCATAACATGCTTACTTTTACTCCTAGAATAGGAGTTCCCTGAGGCAGAGGCCTAAGCCATATCATCCCCCTTTGTAGTTCCACCTGGCATTTAATAGATGCTCAGTAAATACCTGAAAAACGAATGAGTGAATGTGCTAATAAATTAATGAAGTGAAGGGTATGGGCTCAAGAATACAAAGGAAAGACAAAATGTACAATTCTCAGACAAATGTTCCAGCAATTAAGCCTCTGCTTCTACACAGCAGCAGATATTTGTCCAAAATCTTTGGGGAATCTGCATCTTTGGGGAAATATCTAGTCAGATGTACATGTTATAACCCTCTGCCTATAAAGATTATACTGGCAATGTGTTTTTCAAGAATAATATTTTTAAAAGAAACATTAAAATCTGTCTATAATAATCACATCTAAAAGTACCAAAGTAACTTTTAGCTGAATTTTTTGGAGTATGACTAAAACCATACCACACCTTGATGAAAGTATCAACAATACGTATTTTATTAAGTATTTTACAGATAGTCACTTACTCAATTTTCTGTGCTTCAGCTGGTTTTTAGATACATGAGATCCTTCTGATTTGAGGCAGAGGGGAAAGTTGAAGATTTCCAACACACACTGTACACACACACACACACACACACACTTTTTTTTTTAAATTTTGAGTTGGGGTCTCATTCTCTGCCTAGGCTGGAGTACAGTGGCACAATCACCACCACGGCTTGCTGCAACTTTGAATTCCTAGGCTCAAGTGATCCTCCCACCTCAGGATCCTGAGTGGTTGGGACCACAAGTGCGCACTACCACACCTGGCTTTTCTCATTTTTTTTTTTGTAGAGACAGTTCTTGCTACGTTGCCCAGGCTGGTCTTGAACACCTCGCTTCAAGCAATCCACCTGCCTCAGCCTCCCGAAGTGTTGGGATTACAGGTGTGAGCCACTGTGCCCAGCCCCAAATATTTAAATATTTTTCAATTTTTTTTTTTTTTTATGAGACAGAGTCTCACTCTGTCTCCTGGGCTGCAGTGCAGTGGCACGATCTCGGCTCACTGCAACTTCTGCCTCCCAGGTTCAAGTGATTCTTCTGCCTCAGCCTCCCATATGCCACCACGTCTGGCTCATTTTTGTATTTTTAGTAGAGACGGGGTTTCATCATGTTGGCCAGGCTGGTCTTGAACTCCTGACCTCAAACGCTCTGCCCTCCTCGCCCCCCAAAGTGCTGGGATTACAGGCTTGAGCCACTGTGCCTGCCCACATTTGTTGATATCTTAAACTATACTGTTTCTGATGATGGCACAGACTGAGGAAGAAAAACTAAGTTTTACTGCGCATCTATCATATGCATTAGGTAGTTTATATACACACTCCCTTTAACTTCCAAAATAACATTATGAGAGAAACCCTACGTCTGCATTTTACAGAAAAGGAAATCAAGGCTCCAGAGAAATTAAATAAGTTCCCTGAGCTTACACAGATAATAAATGGTAGAAACAAGATGTGAATGCATGGCTATGGAACCCCATAACTTCCTCTTTTCCCAATGTATATAAGAACCTGAGATCTTTCCTATTCTCACCTGATTGACAAGCACATCCCCTATCCTCTTGATGAGAAAGTTCTTTTCACTTTTATCCACCAGAGACTCCTCCTTCCGCTCCAGAATCCTCTGAAAGAATTGGCTATGGATACTGATCAGCTCATCCAAACAGGGGAACAGCTTTTCTACCATCTGCTGCTCAAAAAGCAGATCCGTCATCATCCCCCGGCTGTACACATCACTCATGATCTTGAGAGTGCGGACATGATGTAACTCTGTCTGCATCAGCTCTAAAAGGAGGAAAAAGATCAAGGGTCAGGAACACTCTTTCATGAGAATTCTCCCTCAAAGATCATCTGCTGCAGTCCCAAAGCTAGTTTAGAGCCCAGTTTGAACCTTAAAATTGGGTCAATAGCTATCTTTCCCCTAAAGTGTTCTCATTTTTTTTTTTTTTTGAGACAGGGTCTGGCTCTGTCACCCAGGCTGAAGTCATGGCTCACTGCAGCCTCGACCTCCTGGGTTCAAGCGATCTTTCTGCTTCAGACTCCTGAGTAGCTGGGGCTGCAGGTACACACCATCATGCCTGGTTGATTTTGTATTTTTTGTAGAAACAGGGTTTCACTATGTTCCCAGGCTGGTCGTGAACTCTGGGCTCCAGTGATCCACCCGCCTTGGCCTCCCACAGTGCTGGGATTACAGGTTTGAGCCACTGCGCCTGGTCAAGTGTTTTAAACTTATTCCTCCATTTTTTATGAGTCCTATTTTCTGATAATAGGTACACTGAATTCCATCAGTCTTAAATTATTGATTTCCAAAGAGGCCTTCACTGGATTCAGGACCTGTCATAACTGACTGTATACCCAGTTCTAGGAAATGACTTGTGTTTAGTCTAGTTTTTAGCGTAGGTAAGGAACAAAACTGAGATATCTCTTTCTAGGACTGCTGTATAAATAAGCACTCATATATAAGTACCATGTTCAGTAGAACTGAAAAAAGAAGAGTGGGACAAAAAGGAGATAGGATACAAACAGGACCATGTCTCTGTACCTTAAAGTTTTTAAAGGAAATCTTTTCAAGAAGTCACATACTAAAAAACTGATTTTCCATAGCGCAATAAATTACCGCTTAAAAATGCTGGACAATGCAAATCAAATATAATCAGAGCAAAATGAAGAATCTCACCATATATTACTTCTTGCCGTTTGACCACATCTTTCTTTTGCTGTTTTAGAAACTTGCTGTCTATTATTCGACTCCAAGACTCTGCTTCCAGCTGTTTGGAATCAATCTCAAAGTCTCCCAGTAGCTGTCCTTCATTCATGTCTGTACCTACTCCTCAATATATTAAAAAATCAGTATCAGAATCTTGGGTTTGTGACCTGTAGAATAAGCCTATGTTGAACTTTCCTCAAGATGATAGTTGATTTCATAAGATGCATGAATACAGGGGATATTCACAGAGAATACAGGGGATATTCACAGGGAATATTCACATATTCCAGTACCAGAAAAAAATATCTTGTTCAGGAGTGACAGACTCTACATTCGAGGTTTTGGTTAAGAGTAATAAACATGACATAAATCCAACATGATTAAGACATGACTTCTATCTACATGAAGTTAAGAATTGGAAGGGACCTAGTACCTTTTCATATTTAAGAGAGCAGGATTACAATTGCTTTGTGAGCAAGAACTGTACATGTACAAAAGTCTAAGGGAAGAAAAAGATTTGTACTAAAGAGTATGCCCACATTGAAATAAATGACATCCTTTACTTGACAGCTGCTAGATGAGTTTGATTACCCAGTCATTATAAAGCACTGGACACTTTACTGACAATTTAGAGAATCTTCACAGGTTACAGAAGAGGCAGGCACTAACACTCCATTAAGACTTATATTCTAGGTAATGGCACACACAGTCCCTACAGAGGCATAAAATATAGGCCATAACTTCCTCTTACCCTCATCAGTAAGTGATTCTGTTGATTCATTGACCTTGCTGATTTTATTTAGTGAGTCTGTTGAATGAGACAGGAATTTCCAGGTGTTTGACATGTTCTCATCATTGCCAACTCTGGAGACAAAAAAAAAAAAAAAATTCCATACTGTCAAATACATTCTGATAGCCTATGGCTTGCATTCTTAAATGAGTACCTGAAGACTCCAGAATGACAACTGGCTGGAAGTACTACAGTGACTGAAGACAAATTGCTTCTGTTGGGGCCACAGCAACATGCACACTGCCTGGTAACAAAGTCTAGAGCATTTAGTATCATTGTAGACTCAAATTGTGAGGACTTTTTGAGCCTTTTTAAAGAAAGTGATAACAAGCAAGGGGGAACTTTCTTCCATCAAACCATGTACACATTATATAAGAAACTTTCTGTTTAAAACTTATTGCCTAACCAGTACACATTTTTTTTTCTGTTCTCTAAATAACTACCGATCTAGCACTTAGAATCAACTACATTCTCTTTGGACTTTCTCAATCCTAACTCACTAACTAGCACAGCAGGCAACCAACTGATGTGTGAGTAGGCACAAAAGCAAGAACACTTTAAAGACCCACTTTTGAAAGTTACAATGTATACAAACTTCAGTAACATTACAACTTTTGAAAAGTACACTTTTGGAAATAATGAGAACATAAAGACAAAACAAAACAAAAATACCTGAAACTTTTTAAAGAAGGAGAAAACATTAGCCAGCACAGAGGTTAGGAATTACAAAAAGGAGACTTTTGCATAGTTAGGAATTTTGCTCCAAGATAGGTTAAAGAGATACTCTGAGTCCTACATTTGAAATGGCTTATTCACCTGATGGGAAGGCAGGCATCTTACCCAAAATAGTCAGCAACATCATTATCAGCCCCCTGTTAACCACCTGACAGCCCAGGCCTGGCCAGGAGACCAGTAAAAAAACTCAGTGCAAACCAGTGAGTGGGAACCTAATAGTAATAATTGGCTCAGCACTCACCTCCATGAAACTGACTTAAGTGTTAAGAGGCAAAAATGTAAAACAGAGATAAGAAACAAAACAACCAGGTTTATCTGAACAATAGAAAAGCATGACATCTGTAAGTAGTTGCAACCCAAAATTCTGAATTAAATCACCCTTTTTCTTATTCCTACTTATTTTGATCTAAAAAAAATCATCTTTTGAGAACTCAGATTCTTCAAAAGTAGAGCTGATGATATACAAAAGCCTACAGCAACCAGCCTGCTAAGGGTATTTAAAGGAGATCCTTGCGACAGAATGACCATTATGACATGTACCAAAAACATAATCCCCATCATCCTTGTCTGCACCAACCCATGACTTTATAGATTTATTTCTTAAAAAAAAAAGCTTTTTGTCAAATGATGTGATTATTATGCTCTTGTCACCTAGATGCCAACTGTGCTATCTTTAAATATCTCCGCTTACCCAGTAATGTTCTGTATGGAGACACTTTTGGAGAGCGAGACACTCTGCTGGGACCGTCTACTGGCAAATATCGGGGTGGTAGTGGTTTCATCCACCAGGAGGACTGCGGACCGAGGACGCTCCTTGGGCTGTGCGGCTGCAAAAGGAGGACACTAACTGAAGCATCACTCATCCAGTCCCACCTAGTACTGACCCATCTGACAAATAACAAGCAGAAGTAGGGCGCTTTACAGTAGATTTGCCCTGGAACTGTAAGTTGGTATAAAAACTCCATTGAGGATAGTTTGGTGATAACTACTGAAATTGTAAATGCCTATGTTCTTCGATCCAGCAATTTCACTTTCAGGCTATGTTTATTTTTCAAGATATACTTGTATATTCGTGAAATGATGTTATGTCCAAAGTTATTCAATGCAACACAATATGTAAAAGCAAAAGACTGGAAAAGACGCGAGTATCACAAGACTGGTGAATAAGTTATGGTACACCACATAGCAGAATACAATGCCACTTACAAAAAATGAGGACTACTTTCTAAGTACTGACACAGATAGATAGATCTATCTCTAAGATCTATTAAGGGGAGGAAAATCAAAGTGCAGAACAAAATATGTAACAGGCTATCTTTCATGCTTAAAAGAAAGAAAAATAATCCAAGTTGTATTAACTTTAACAGGCGAACTCCAGGAAAATAAATTAAAAAAAAACTAAGAAGAGTGGTTACCTCTGGGATGGGATAGGCAATGGGGATAAAGAATCCTGTGGGAGTATTACGTATTTTAACATTTAAACTGCAAATAAAATTGAAATACTTTCTTTTTTTTTGAGATGGAGTCTTGTTCTGTCGCCCATGCTGGAGTGCAGTGGCGCGATATTGGCTCACTGCAAGCTCCACCTCCCAGGTTCACGCCATTCTCCTGCTTCAGCCTCCCAAGTAACTGGGATTACAGGCGCCCGCCACCACACCCAACTAATTTTTTGTATTTTTAGTAGAGACAGGGTTTCACTATGTTGGCCAGACTGGTCTCAAACTCCTGACCTCGTGATCCGCCCGCCTCGGCCTCCCAAAGTGCTGGGTTTACAGGCGTGAGCCACCGTGCCTGATCCCAAGATTGAAAGAATTTTAAGGGTAAAAGGAACCTTAGAGATAACTGGGAGCAGCGTTCTTTAGGAGCGTTCACCATGAAAACATCTAGAGTGCCGTTAGATATGGAATTTCAGCCCCCCACCTTGTCTTCTGGGGGTGGAACCCAAGAGTCTACATATCTTACAGGCTCAAGTGATTCTTCTGCTCACTGCTAGAGAGCACAGATTTTGATGATTTCCTTTAATTTACAGATGAGGAAAATGTAACACTTGTTTAACATCTGTAACTATAGATGACCCTTGAACAACATGGGTTTGAACTACATAGATCCCCTTATATGTGAAATTTCTTCTGCCTCTACCACCCCTGAGACAGCAAGACCAACCCCTCTTTTCCTCCTCTTCCTCCTTCTTGGTCTACTCAATGTGAAAACGACAAGGATGAAGACCTTTATGATGATCTACTTCCGCTTAACAAATAGTAAATATATTTTCTCTTGCGTATGATTTTTAAAATAACATTTTTTCCTTTGGCTAAATTTATTGTAAAAATATAGTATATAAGACACATAACAAACAAAATGCATTAACTGGCTGTTTATGTTATTGGTAAGGCTTCTGCTCAACAGCAGGCTATTAGCAGGTAAGCTCTGGGGGAGTCAAAAGTTTTATGTGGATTTTTGACTGCATGGGGGCGGGGCTAGTACACCCATCATCTGAGTTATTCAAGGGTCAATTCTAATTTGTTCTCACAGTGCGTATTTCTCATTAACATGACTAAAGAGGAAACTAGAGATCTAATTTGCTAAAGTGGTCACGCTGGCACTTGGGAACATTTTTCCTTGGTAACTGACTTGCTGTCCCATTCACAGGCTGCATTGTCTGTCCATCCCCAGGAGTGTCAAGAGGTGAAGGAAATAAGATTGGGGTGGTAGTTATGGCTTCACAGTATTTCAGGATGTCTTTGACTCAATAAGCATTAATAAAATCATTAATTTCCAATTCAAATTCTATTTACAAGATGATGACACAATAAAACAGCAGAAACCCAACATACTACAACCCGACCAGATTCTAACTGCAGGAAGTACACAAGGGGTATGGGATGTGGATCTACCCCTCTTCCCCCACCCCCATCCCCACGCAAGAGGAAAAAAGCAAGTGGGTAGAAAAGAGAATGAGCTTAAGAGTTAAAGGGCCTGGGGCATAGTCTGAATGTTTCTGAAGAGAGGTCAGTGAGCAGATAAAACCGGACGGAGGAAGAAAACACTAGTTCTTGAAGAATGGCAAGGATGTGGATGGGTCAGAAGAAAAATAGAGGACAATTCTGATGAGAAGAACCGTGGGAATGAAGACAGAAGTAATTATGTAGTATTAATGTAGAAGGGAGACACAGGATAGAAAAGGAAGCAGGTAGAAGGAATCAATGAAAAGTCTGGAAAAGCAGAATGATGTTAGGCAGAGCTCATAATAACTTGTATCTAAAAGCCAGCATGGGGGAAGAAAATAACCGCTCTCTTTATTTGTAACCAATCCATATTCTACCTAAGTAAGTGACTCAATATTGCTGCTTCCTTATTTGTGATGATTATAGCAGTGAAAACTAACACTTAAGGAGTGTTTACTACTAAGTACTTTACAGGTATGATCTGATTTAAACCTGACTACCACACTATGATACTATTATCATCCCCTTTTACAGAGGAAGAAAATGAGGCACAGAGACATTTGGTAATGTCCACAGTTACACAGCGATTAAGCAGTGGTGTCAGACTTGAATCTATATAATTAGAATTCACAATCTGTACTCTAGACCACTATGTTGCCTCAGTGGAGTACAGTAGGAATAAAAATATTTGTGGCAAGGCCAGGTACGGCGGCTCACACCTATAATCCCAGCACCCTGGGAGGCCAAGGCAGACGGATCCCTTGAGGTCGAAAATTCGAGACCAGCCTAGCCAACATAATAAAACCCCATCTCTACTAAAAATACAAAAATTAGCCAGGTGAGGGGACGTGCACCTATAATCCCAGCTACTTGGGAGGCTGAGGCAGGAGCACTGCTTGAACCTAGAAGGCGGATGTTGCAGTGAGCAGAGATCACG